CGTCACCAACAAGAATGGATGTGGCAAGTCGAGCAAAATGCAACACCCAGCTTTCCGCCCTGACTTTAATGTCGAATCCCAGGAAAAAGCAAGAACTAGCACTGAAGGCATGCAGACCGAGTCGCATATCCGTGACGTCGAGAGTAATGCGACCGTCCAGGACATCGACCTCATTGGGCAGTTTGAAGTTGGTCAGCCTATCCAGCAGCACTCTCACCAGCAAATGCAGCCCGAGAGTCCCGCCGTCGCTGCCTGTCAAGAGGAAAATGAATGCGATCTGGAGCGCACCGGCTGGCGCAATGAGGTGGAAGGCCGACGTCAACGCGTGTCCCGATACACCTCTTTTCTTCGCAGCCTTCGCAGCGTCCATGCTCCCTCCAGCAATGACGATGGTCTGCACTCTGATTCTCATGACCCGTACTGAATGTCTGCACGATGGAGCGCACAGCATGAATAGGTTCCAAAGATTCTGAGGTTGACGTGAACGAAGCACTATTGCGAAGTAATCTCAGCGATACACTGTGGCTGTCCACCATAAGAAGATGCAAACGAAGAATGAGGTCCAAGGAGAAGATGCGAACGAAGTATGAGGTGCGATGAGGAGATACAAACGAAAGACGAGATCCAGGGTCCAAGCTGGCGTGCAGAAGAGGTGATCAGTGACTGAGGTAGAATCTGGACCGGCCGGTGGAAAGAAGGATAGGTACCTGACAACTCTCATCGCGATACCCCGATGCAGCAATAGCCAAATAATAAAAACCTCTCTCACAAAGTCTATGCCACATCTTGTCTTCCCAGTGACCCGCTCAGAGATAATCCGGGTCGACCTCAATAGCCGAATCGTGCGGGTCATCGACGTGTTTCGGTGGTATGAGGTAGGGTATGTGCCAGACTTGTTGGTTCCAGTGTTCGACAACACCGTCGCCCTGAGCATGGCAGCCTTGAATGTTGAGACTCTGATGTACAAGTTAGCATTGATAGCACGATTTCATTGTAGAGCCACGCACTTGCAAACCCGTCAGTCCACTAATAGCCTCTAGACTTTTCTCTTCGATTAAGAATCCGCAGTGCGCCACATGCAACCGTTGCAATGTCGAGCGGCCTTCCCACTCATGTCCTAGGAAGACCCAGACGTCTTTGTCGATGAACCTGCAGCCACCAAGCCAAATCTCCTCGCAATAGCGACTATGTTCAAGCAGCTTTCTCAGTTGCGCAGTGGTCAAATCTGCGTTCTGTATCTTGAATCTTCGAAGACGAGGTTTCCAGACCGCACCAAGTCCAAGAAGATCCCAGGCTTTATTCTGCTCCTTCTTTTCCAGTGCTATAGAGCTTCGAGGCACTGATCGGGCATACAGGTCATCCTCAACCTTGATCGACAGGTCTCGTAGTGCAAACAGCGTCGAGATGACTTCCGCGATTGGCGTTGTAAGCGTCCATAGTGAGAGGTCCAATGTGCGCAGCATAACCGCATGCCTCGTTACTACGCTGACCAGGAGTGCGTTGTGGAACTGCAGGAGCACACCATAGTCGTATGTACTGGCATCTGGTATGCGTATGCAGTTTCTCTGTTCACAATAGTCATTGGCTGCACGACCGCAAATTGGTTTGATCGCCAGGTTCAGGGTATGGAGATTCGAGTTGGCGAGGGTGCGAGCAAGTCGAGACGTTTGAGAAAATCTAAGTAGAGCTTGAACAGGCAATGACTCGAGTATCTGAGATAGCAGCTCCGGAGGTAGGTCTAGGAGAGAACGGGTCATGGTGACTGAGGGTGTTTGTATTGCCTGCATTTTGATGTGAGAGCTTAACTCTTGTTTGTGGAGAAATCGACGCAGGCAACCACTGATATTTTTTTTGTTCCTGCACATGATTCGTTCTTGGTGCCCGCGGATTGTTTTGAAGAGACGACCCTAATATTTGGCGTTTATATCCTCCTCTACCTTGTCTGTTGCTGCTGTTGACGATACTCACACTTGAAGCTACTCAGTGGCTAATGATAGCCTACACAACTGCGCCTTATGAGATATAGAGCAATTCAACTCTGACTACCGTAAGAGGACCGGATTTACCACCCAAAGAGGGCGCGCATTACTCAAGTTCCTATTCGAGGACCCGTCACCTTACGAGGCGTAGCTTGGCGTTCTTCGATAAGGATTAGGTAGGGAGGGCAGTCCTGACCCAAGGCTGAAAGCGCACCTTTGTATAATATTGGTGGACCTGGATGAGGGCATCTTATGGATTCCAGACTATGTTTAGACCCGCCCATGTTTGCTCGAACATGTGGTGATGATCAGCTTGAATATCATCCCTGCTCTTCCTGCCATCTAATCGCTGCGGTGGCTTGTGATGTAGATAGATGCTTGTGAAAGGTTGACATGATATTTTTCCATGTCCATTTCGGTCGCCGGATGTGTCAGTTCTAGAGGCTGCCATGTTGCGCTCCGTGGCTCCGTCAGCCGCATGTGCGTCCATGTTGAGGGCTCGTGCGACATTGGTCTTGTGACATGCTCTTCGATGTTCATGCGATGGGATGTACTGATACTGCGGGGCGTATGACAGCCACGATCAGACCTTGGGCTGTGTCATGCGAAAGAGGCGGTCGCTGAAGGTGATGGACTGGTGCGTGAGATGCGGATTCATGCTGTCAGCAAATCCTCCACCTCTGCCTCTTCCACCATTTCAATGTATTCCACACCATGTAGTCGCTCGCCGATCTCACGCACGAATTCTTTGCCCACTGCACCGACGTCTCCGTTTTCGATCCCTTGTTTGCGGAAATTCGTCGTTCTCTTTCCTTCTAAACCGCAGGCCACAATCCTGTCAAGCCACCACAGATCGGTATTCACATTAAGGCCAACGCCATGACTTGTTACGTTCCTTCTCATATGCACTCCTATCGCTGCAATCTTATCATCGGGAGACGTCCACACGCCTGTATGCTCCGTAGTCATAGTCTTGATACCGTACATGGCACATGTAGCAATCAGGCTCTTCTCCAATAAGCAAACATATGTTCGCGGGGTAAGTTTGTGCGTGCGCAAATCGAGAATGGGGTATGCGACGAGCTGGCCAGGCCCATGGAACGTGGTCTGGCCTCCTCTCAGGGCTTCTACGAACTCGGCACGCCCATTTGCGCAGAGGAACTCTTGTTGCTCAGCTGATACCGTTCCCACCTCTCTTCTTCCACAGGTGTAGACGGGGCTGAATTGGGCTGTTATGATGTGTGGTGCAGGCGCAGGTGCATTCGAAGGTGGCTTCGAGGCGAGGAAACGTGCAACGAGTCGTTCCTGGATGCGAGCAGCGATTGAATAAGGGACGATCCCCGGGAGGTGAATGTGGCGGAGCGCCGGGGTTACAAGACTAGTCATTGTTGTCATAACCTGCAAACGCCCAGGTGGTGAATCGGGGATTTGATATTGGAGACCTGGTTCAGAGAGAGCTAACATCGTCATCACGTCCTAGTTACGTACGGTATCGATAAGCCAAATTTTGGGCCGGCGCGACGCGACCGCTGCCTTTGAATATATCCCAAGCCCTTACACAAACACGACACAACTCAGCCTAACAGTCACCATGGCAGGCCAGAAACGAACACGCAGCGGTCACCCCAAGGCCCCCAAAAACACCTCTTCAGATCCAGACACGCCCATGACCAACGCAACACCACCCTACGCGCAGCCTCTCCCTCTCCCAACCTCGAGCAAAACAACCGACACTCCAAACGCCTCAACTCTCTCCCCTCCGACGAAATCGCAACAAAAAGAACAAGAACAAGAACAAGAACAAGAACAAGAACAAGAACAAGAACAAGAACAAGAACAAGAACAAGAACAAGAACAAGAACAACACCAACACCAACACCAACACCAAAAACAACAGCAGCAAAAACAACACCACCACCCCAAACTACCCAAACTCCCCAAACTCCCCCCCACCGCCACCCTCTCCAAACGCATACAGAAGACGAGCAGGAAAAGACATCAGAGCCACAGAAGGATGTCGCATCACCTACCGATACCGAGGACGCCACAGCTCGATTGCAGCAGCGTCTGGACCTTATGTTGACTG